AAAAAAAAAAAAACATTTTTTTAATCAAGAATGTATTTAACAAAAAATTTTTTTAAATGTTTTTACTATATAAAGTTTTAAGTTAAAAGATTGATATATCATCGACTTCAAAATTCGAGATAGTCGATGAGAAAATATTGACAGTCAAGTATTCATATTAAAGTACACTTCATGGAAAAGTCTAACGAACCACCGTACTCATCCGCTTTCTCGATCGAATTTTCTGTCAAGCGAGGCAAGCGATTTATCGCATAAAGATAAACGCGACATGGTTCTGTATGGTTTTGAATCCACGGCTTGATTTGCATGGCGAATTAATTCAATTCGACGACCTTTATAAGGAACGACATAATAACATTAATGATAGCCTGTCTCGTTTGCATGCTCTCAAGAGATACCTCGTAGACCCAAAAGAGCAAAGGGTATATAATCTTATACTAGTATTATATTTGACAATTATACAAGCATATGTAGGTGATTTATGTAATAATTAGTCATTGTGTGTTTCAAGAAAGAATTTAACTGGATAAAGGATGAATAAAGTATTAATAAAAAGTGCATGATAATGAAATTACGTAATTTAATGATTATTCAACTATATATTAGAAATATCTGCTATAAAAAGCAGAATAGAAAATTTTGTAATATAGCTCTAACATTTCGAAGATTCTGTAGTTCTTAAATCTTAATTTACCGTTTATTAATTTAATAAAACACATACTATTACTATACAGAAAGAACAATTTATCTAAAGTATCTAAAAATTTAAGTAGATAGATCTGAAAATAACTTTATTAAATCATCAAAAATGTATAAAAAACTGAAACACAATGAATAATGTTGCAAAAAAATGTGTTATCCATTATCACTTTCAACGTCTTACATACTTATTTTTTTTTTGCTAGTCTAACAAAATTTATTTTTAGACCTGTAGCTAAATTTTCGAATACTTCAACAAAACCATTCTTTTCACCATTCTGTATTTAAATTGGTTTTGAATGAATATAAATATTTCTCCTCTCTCCCTCTCTCTCTCTCTCTTTCTCTCTCTCTCTCTTTCTCTGATTGTTAAAATTAATTATTTTTAGTAAATAAGTTAGAATATTATTTATTAAAATTATTGAAATAGTATTTTGATTATTTAATACAAATCAAAATATTGACTTTATTATCTTGGATGAGATAAATTACTTTCCTGTCGTCTGCTCTTATAGGCTATTGCTTAAACAATTTTCGT